CAGTGAGAACTCACTACGGCTTCAGGGAAAGAGGTGTTCTTACCAGTGAATAATGCAGCAGTCACTGACTGTCCTGTTTGGCAAAAAGTGCAGTTCTGTGCCCTGAATTCCTTAGATTTACACATTAAGGCTATTTATATCTGCAGCTAAGACTTTTGGGTCACAAGGTCTTGAAGAGCTGTAAAAAAGATCAGAGCTATAAAAAAAGATCAGAGCTATTCTCTGATCTTTTTCAGGCCACACCCATAAAGAATAATATTCTATCCTTTATATGGCTTTAATTGAAGTATATAAATATATACTTCACAAGCAGCAGTAGCAGCAGCACTAACAGCCTCTTCTGCCACTTTGGTGTCACTTGAGCATTTCACACCCAAGTGCTGACTAAAGGAACACTCACATTTGATAAGCCAGTGTGCAGCAGTTCTGCTTCTGTACAGTAATGTTCTTGTAATCCTTTAAATTCTAGTTGTGGCTTACAATTTTCTTCTTAGTTTAGCAGCTTTTGAGCCAAGTTCCTGACTTTCAGAAGAGCTGAAACTTCTGTAACTCTTTTTCATCTAAATTTTGCCTTCCCCAGTTACCCTCCCCCAAACCTGTACAGACATTTAGTACATCAGTTGCAGAATGGCAGAGAAACAGATAATTGAATATTCACACATGCAGAAACAACCCAGGCAGAATGTGGAACAATGTGGAAACAGGCGCGAAAAGAGGCGGCATCTGTTTATTGAAAATTAAAATGTAGAATAAATTAAGAGGGCAAGGTTGAAACACTTCATCTGCAGACAGAGTTTGTAAGGGAAGAAGACTGCAGGAAGTTTAGCACATGGATTGTGTAGAAAGGACTTATGCAGTTCTGTTTTTGCAAAATGAGGAGTTTTTTCCCCTTCCAAGGACATGTTATAAAGGGATAAAGTGTCTACACAAAGAATGGTTTTCCAATAGAGATGATTATATATAGCAGTTTCACAGTAATGCCAGAATTAAAATGCTTAAAACGTTAATGTTGCAATGCTTCAAGCGCTGAAGAACAGAGTAAGTATTTTTAGCAATACCCTCAATTCATATAAGCAAATGCTGTGCTAATTTTTCCACTGGTGCCTCTGCAGGTCATGCTGGGCTTTTCTAAAACAAATAATGAATTTAGCAAATTTGCATTTTTAATGCCTGTTTTGGTGACATTCTGCAAGGAGAAGGGTAGAGCCAAGATAGTGTTTGATGGACTGGGAAATGCAGTGAATTTGGTTGTAATGTGGAATTACTCTGCTGGCATTTCCAAAGGCCTGTAAAGCTAGCACATCTATGAACAGAGGACCTGAGATTTTGCTTTTTTTTGTTGTTGCTGTTTATGTTCTGTACATACCTTTGCACTTTGTACATTAGGCTTACAAAAGGTTTCTCACTTTAAAGCTGCTCAAGTAGACAAAAGCCGTATTCTAGTCATTCATCATATAACAAGCTTAATTATGCTAGGACATATTGACACTGCATCAGATTTTTAATCTTCAACATAATTTTATAACCATTGCTAACAGATGGGCTGATTACACTGAATTTGAGTTTTAAGTAATAGTTAAAAATTCTAAAATATGATTAAACTGGAAATACCCATTGCATACCTAATTTTCAAAAAGCTTCTGAAAGAAGAAAAACCAGAGTGCAGTAAAGCCTCTTTTTTGTTTCCTGAGGGAACTATATTGCATTTAAGTGCAGAGTTATCAAAGTTCCTTAGATGACCAAGCAGTTTGTGCTATTGGCAGCTCCTCTTCTGTCCAATTACAACCCATAGGCCAGGACCTTATTTTTTCCATGGGTCTGTTGCTCTATTCCAGCATAAAAGATGTGAAATTTTCTATTTCAGAACTTCTTTTTTATCAAAACACATACCCTCCCCCCCTTTTTTTCATTGAAAATTAAAGCAAAGAGTAATTAAAAATAGGATTTTCTGCTCTTCAATAACAAATGTAGAATTCTTATGAACAAGAGGGACAGCTTTGTGGGACTAATGGAGGTTCACATGTGAATTCTGAACAAAAGGTATTTTTTTTCATGCTATCTTTTTAAGGTTACTAAAGGAAAGATGGAAAGATAAGCCAGTTTTCCCTCTGCCTGCCATTGTTCATCATGTGCTGGACATGTGTTTCATATCACAGGGGTGATAATGGGTCAGAGGTGATTGGTATCCTGAATTCTGGAATAGAGGAAATGCAAAGATTAAATACTGTCTATTTAGATCTCAGTTCTATACATAGCAGAAAAAAAAAAGGTGCTTAGTATATATACACACACACATCACAAAAATGTGTCCTCTTATATTCTGGAACAGTCCTCTGGCCAAGGAGATAAATGTGGAAAATTCTGCAAGGTTCATGATGGCTCAGTTTCAGACAGGTCTCCCATCACCAAGTATTAGCATTTCCAAATGAAAGGACACTGGTCACAGACTGAGGGCAAGAAAAATCATACTGAAATTAATTTTTATTTTAAAAACTTCACTGACAAACACTGATTCTATAGTTATGAGCAATTCATTAGATGTCTACTAGTTTTGGCTGGAGTGGAGTTAATTTTCTTCACTCTATCCTCATATAGACGTTTTTGTTATTGCTGAGCAGGGCTTACACAGAGCCAAGGCTTTTCTGCTTCTCCTACTGCCAGGCTGGGGAGGGAGCTGGGAGGGGACACAGCTGGGACAGGTGACCCCAACTGACCAAAGGGACATTCCAGATCTGCCCAGTGACGTCATGCCCAGTACATAAAGTGGGAGAAGAAGGAAGAGACATTTGGAGTGATGGTGTTCATCTTCCCATGTTATGTACTACACTGTTCCATGCCATGGGGCCCTGCTGTCCTGGAGATGGCTGAGCACCTGCCTGCTCTGGGGAAGCAGTGAATTTATTCCTTGCCTTGCTTTATTTTCATGCATTCTTATTAATGGCTTTTGCCTTCCCCACGAAACTGTCTTTGTCTCAGCCAAGGAGTTTCCTACCTTTTACCCTTTCAATTCGCTCCCCAGTCCCACTGGTGGGGGAGCAGCTGTGGGCCGGGGTTAAACCATCACAACATTCAAAACAGCTTAATACCATAAATTTTTCATCATATAGATGGATTTGAATAATGAAATTTCTCTGAATTAGGTACTCTAGCTACAGTTTTATTTTCAGGATCTTTTCACCACCCATTGCAGAATTTACAGCTGCAGGAAATGTTTGTCCATGCAAGCAGTGTTATTTTTAAACAATGTAATAATGGGAGACACCCTTGCCAGCCTCTGAGTAAAACACCCCTGCAATGAGTAGCAATCTTCAAATGAGTGAGGTTGCTTAGAACTTCATCTTACCTGACCTTCAATATTTCCAGGGATGGAGTGTCTACCAGCCCTCTGAGAAACCTGTCCCAGTGTTTCACCATCCTCATAATAAAGAAAATTCTTTCCTATATCTAGTCTGAATCTACCCTTTGTTAAACCAAACTGTTCAGTGTAAAATGCTATAGAAAGGTTTAAATGAAATGATGTTTATTGCCTTAAGCAGCCTCTATACAGACAGCATCTAATAAGATGTATATATATTTTTAGCTTTTAGGTTTTTTTCTACATTTTAGTTAAAACCAGAATTTTCTTCATTCCTTCTGACTGGTTTTGGACTGCTCTTTGGTGTATGCTTGGTAGGTCAGCATAAACTAGTACTCTGCAAGTCGTCCTCTCATCAATATTATTGGAACTATCAGTGACATCTGCAAATGTCCATACCACCCATCAGATCCCCCATCTGGCACTGGTTGATGACTATGATGCAAAATGCCTTGTTTCTGTTTGCTTTAACTTTGTGACAAAGAAGAATGATATTTTCCAAACTGTTAAAATTAGTTTCTCATGTGCCAGGAGCTGCTATGCATTTACATAAAGTCCTGTTGCTTTTTCAGAAACTTCCAGCCACTACAGATAGTATTAAATATGTCCTTAATAACCTACTACACATCATTAAGTGCTTCATTGTAATATGTGTTCTGTCCTTTAAAATCACAGTTTTTACTTTCAGGAAGTAATACGACAGTCAGACATCTGTTCTGGGATCTACTGTGGTAGGACTCAAATTTCAAAAGCATCTCAATTAATTTCTCTTGGAGAGGGGTGTTTTTAATTTTTTTCAAAAAAGCTTTTCAGAAGCAGAATCCCTCTGGGATGAATAAAACTCCCAGGTACATAAGCTTACGAGAAGCTACAATGCAAGTTCAATAAGTTACTTTCATAATGAAAAGAACCTCCATGTTCTGCACTATTAAGTACCCTAAAGAGGCTTTTAGTTACTGCATTATCTGAAGTACTGATAGCTGATTTAGGCAAGAAGATTATCTAGTTCGACTTGATAAGATTACTGCAACCAAAGGGAAGCTGCTCTGAACAAGATTTTAGGGATTTTTGTGGAGCTATTAGACATAAAAATAATTTTTTCCTTCCTGTTAACATTGCAAAATTAAAATATGAGTGACTTTAAAAGTAAGAGCCTGCTCACTGGTGTTGCCATTAATGGCAAACCCACTCCAAAGTCCCGTAAGTAGTTTCAGAAGTTTTCAGAAAGCCTCAGATTATTGAGGGAAGTGAAAAGTGTGGATACCATAGCCATCAATGAAAGTTTCCTGAGGACTTCAAGAAAAAAAATGTAGAAAAAGTTACAGAGCTAGATACACCCTGCAAAGACCCATAACACAGCAAAATACTTGACAGATCCAACTTTCTTAGCAAACAAGAATAATTACTAGCCTATCATCAAATGATGAGTATTTCAATTAGAAATCTGTCCTCTCTTCTTTTTCCCTCCCACCTTTCACACCTAGTATAAGTGTATAACTAATAATGTCATGACTAATTAAAGACCATTGGGACCCCTGGAAAATACAAGTCAATTTTAAGAACATAGCATTGAAAACGAAGGGAACATGAAATCTAAACCTGCCTTTTCTTATATTACCCACAAAGAAAACAGAGAGGTTTTACAATGGAATATGAAATACTGAAATGTTTTAATACAGGTGAAAGTTAAAGACAGCTATACACATTCTGTGCAACATAAACACATTAAAAATACTCTCTCTTAACACAAGCTTTATCACACTGGCACAACCCCTGGTGAATGCACTGCATTCAACAAGTTGAGTACTAGAGAGCACATGTTTTTCCCATTCTACTAAAATAATAAATTAGAAATTACAAAATTATGATTTTCTTAAGAACAGACTGAATAAGATTTTCAAAAGTACACTATTTAAGAGGGACAGGTCTCATTCAATGGACTAAGTTGTGAAATTCTTTGAAATTCTGTCTTATATGTTACAATATATAGGCTCTGTTTTTACAGATACTGAATCTGTAATAAATTAGCTTTCAACCTTTCTATTGCTATTCATCAGGACATTGAGTCAATTTTCAAATGCATGACAATAATAAAATACCAAAGGTTTTTTTTTTTTCAATTAATACATAAATTGGGGAAAAATGGGGAACAACCACAAAAATTGATACATGTATTTCCATTGTAAAGATAAAGAGCTTGTCTAGTTCTTGTTGTAGTCTGCAGTTCTTGTTGTAGTCTGTAGTTTTAGGTACCAACAATGTCATAATGTCCAAGAAGAAAGGATTAATCACCAGCACATTACTGAGCTGTCTCATTTTCCAGTTTTTGTATCTCATTTTGTCCAGCCTCTGCAAGGTGAGATAAGAGTCTCTTATACGCTTCTCTGTTGGGGGAAAAAAAACCAAAACATATAACATGTTACTTTAATAATCTCACACATCCTAGGAGTCAAGTGTGTAATTCCCAAACACATTGTTTAGATATTGAGATATTAAAACAGTTTAATGTCCCCCCACCTATTCAGCTGCTTCTTTGCTGTGACTCTTTAGCATGGCCAGATCAGGAAGAATAGGGACGGCACTGTTTACAGCTAGAAATGTAGTGGAGCTCCTTAGAAGCCTAATTGTTTAGTAAACTGCTCTGAAATACAAGTTCCTTGTTTAAAAACGTGGAGTTTCCAAGGCCTGGATGAATATCAGCCTTCAGCCTTGATGATGTTTGCTCTCTCATTTCTGCCTAAGCAATCCCTGGGACTCTCACCACAGCCCCTCACACTTGGGTGCAGCCCAAGCACTGAACCAGATTCAGACACCAACCTCAACCAAGGACAATGACTGCTAAAATAAACCTGGAATTCAGAAGGGAACTGTCACTCAAGTGGATTTTCCAGAAGAGTGCATATGTGTTGATGAGACTTTTCACCTTAAGTTCATTCTAATACTCTCCAACCCAAACAATGTAATTATTGTTAAAATACTGCCTCTGACATTTAGATCTTTTCTAATTATAGATTTTTGTCATGAAATATTAACTTGAGCAAACAAAACTGCAGTTTTCATACTAGTTCCTTGCAATTACAACACTGGACATCACCACTATAAGCATTTAATGCAAATTCTGAACACCTTACTTCTTTTATAGATACAGATTTGCACTTTATTGTCTACAGTAATTGCACTGAATATGTTAATATCATGTTATTTAGAGTCTAGGACCGAAGAGAGAAAATCAGGTGTTCTTGAAGAGAGAAACTTAGTGTTCTTACAATAAAATGCTCATGGAACATCTCAGGCTGCTGGGTAATGCAGCACATTCTAAATACAAATTACTAATAGAAAACATTGACAACAGATTAGCTAATATATATGGTTTAAGTGATGAGGATAAAGGAAATGGAGCTCTTCAGTAATCTCCAAGCATGTATTTCAGGAAGCTCAAACAACCTGCAGGCTTTGTAGATAATGACATGAATGTTCCCATATTAACAGTATTTAGCAAAAGAAAAACAAGCAAACTTTTAGCTATGAAACACATTATCAAAGGATGAAAAGCAGGTTGTGTGGAAATCCTACATATAACAGTACTTCAGGCTGATCCTGGGCAAATTCTCTTAAATAAAAGCAAATGCAGTTGCTGGCAGTGGATAGTAAAAGGTGAATAATATAATTACAAATTAATTAAATGCATTTTTCATTAAATGGAAGATGATACCCTGTGAGTACCCTTCAGCGTCTCATAAGTTATTTGCTGAGGAGAACATATGTGGCCCGAAGTTTAGAGTCCGGCTAGCTGAGGGCGAAAGGCCGACGCCCCTCTGCAATTCCTGGCCAGCACCCTTCGGCGTCTGAGGGCCTCGGGCTGTGCTGGCTGCAGACTGGCTCACACCGCTGGTATAGGGGAGGAACGGAGCTGACCATTTCCCGGGGGTTAAACATCGGTTTATTGAAGGTGTTGCGGGATCCAAACGCGGGGAAACCAACCGGAAAAAGTTTCTCCATAGGGGGTGAAACAGGATTATAAAGGAGGGGGGTGGGTACAGGCGAAACCAATCGGGAAAGGTGAGGGGATGAACTTCACAGAACTGACACTCCATGGAGACCAATAATCAAAAGGTAAAGGAGGTGTCCTGGGACCCCAGCCAGCCACCATCTCCAGAGAGGAGAAGGTTCTCAAAACCTGGGAGGAGAAGGGAGTGATTGACTGGACAGGGAGGAAACAACTTTCACTTCTAAGGGAAACCAGGGGAGGAGCAGTTACACATCGGCAACTATGAATAGCGGTTACTATAGCAACTTAGCTGACAGGCTAGCACTGGCGGGAAAAACTGGGGGAACAAAACCATTTTACACATAATAGGGGAGAACAATACATAAATTGGGGGAATAACACAAGAAACTTAACAACATACTACAACAGTGCCCCACCAGGCAGAGCTTCCTGGAGCTCTGTAGCACTGCTTGCATAGATCCTGGAAGGTCAGTGCTGCATCTGCACCCAGACACCACCATCCCTGCCAAGCTGCTCCCCTCCTCTGCCATTTTCTCCTAATGCCAGATGGATTCAAGTGTCAAATATTTCTGTCCTGAGTTCTTGGGGGGCAAACGGAGGAATCCTGAGCCTGCTGTGCCTATTGGAGCCAGCCACGACTCTTCTAAGTTTAGATTTTGAGAGAGCTCTTGATATTCAGTTGGGGGTATTTATTTTCCAAGCATCTCAGACCATACCTGATTATAGTATAATTTCACATATGACCCAAAAAGTCCTCTAAAACAGGGACTAACAGGAAAATTGTTTGGGTAAGGAATTCTTAATTCTGTTTTGTAACATATATGGTAGAGACAACCTGGCTTCACAAAAATTCTACTCTGGTCTGTGGACCCTAGTATCAAAACATCTCTGGAAATATTTAGCAAATATAGATGGCTTTAAACCATGAGAGGCTTGAGTTAAGGGAGATTTCTGGCTGAAAACACTTAAAAATAACTCATTTTTGGGTGTCTGTGCTGCTGTCTTACCACTGCTTTCTTTCAACAGAATAAATCTCTACTAGTCATTGTCAAAAGTAGTATTAAATGAAAACCAAACCTCTGTGCAGCATTTCTTCCAAGGCCTTGTTTGTGCTCAGAATCCTTCAGAGACTGTGTGATTGTGGGAATCAGGCTGGTAACTAAAGTCTGATCCAAGACTGCCACTGTCTCCAGTATGCTGAGAACCCGGTGATCATAGACAGCAGTGTAGTCCTGGATGAACTGCCTGGGGGGACAGAGGGGCATTTAATGCAGGGTCAAAAGAGATGCAGAGAACATGCCAACAACAACTGTACAGTCTAATCAGAACAAACAATCTGGCTGCACAGCAATTTTCATTTTGTTACACTGGAATACTCTACCTGGAATACTTTCTCTAAACAAAGGATGGTTTTGAAGGCTAATGCTAAAAATTCCACGCATTTATTTTCAAGTAATTTGGCAGATTCTGCTGCTGTTTCCCCAGGACTGCCTTGTTCCTAATGTGTGTGAATGCAAAACTAAACCATACATTTCTTATTTAATAAATAATAATTGTAATAAAAAGACTAACAAAACAAGAGTTTTAGATTCAAATTTGCAGAAACAATGTTGGCATTTCTAATAATGATCCTCTGGATCTTAAATAGGGCAGATCATTAGATGGAAGCACATCCATTTGCCATCCTGAGGACCTGAGGACTTTAAGGCTCACAGATTACATTCAAATCAAAATTAGCACCCTAGGGATGACACATCCCATGAAATTGATGTATCAGATATAGACTGGCATTCCCACAAACACCAATTCTTTTTTCAGTGAGTCTCTCTCAAGGCTTTCACCTAGACCTAGCCCAATACAGCAGCAGTGCTTAAGGTTTGCAGAATGTCTATGAGTGCCAGGCCATGCAGCTCTGCCACTGTATCCATGCAAGACGCAGGATTCATTTTGTAGAGCTATGAAATAAGGATAATTCACATTATAATAATCTATTATTGTCACAAAATCAAATTAAAAAAGCTAAGCTTGTTATATGAATATTAGCTGCACTTCAAATTAGGCACACACATCTTTCACAGCACCATCAGCATTCCTGAGGAGTTTTTCCCATTGCAGGAAAAACTATATGCCTATCAAAATAGTATCTCATCCATAAGGAAGCAGGTATGCCTCTCACTTCTATTTTTCTGCTCTGGCTTTTTGGCAAAGCTGTGCTCAAATCCAGTGCCAAAAGTACCATTACTAAAATACCATAAACAAGCAACAATGCAGCATGTTAGGATAATTAGCTATTTTAAGAAAATATGTTTGCTGTCAATTGGCTTGCAGCAGCTTTGCTGCCAGTTGGCATATTTTCTGGTTACCTAAATACAGAAGTCAGCTGGGTGGCATGTTCTCCTCCTGACCCTGCTTGGCAGCCTTCTACCATGTACTGTACAATGTCTGTAGATATTTTTTTAACTGCAAAAGAAAAATCACAGGATTCACACAGAGCTCTTGAACTGGCCATCTGGAGAATGTCTTTCATGAAGACAAAACATTTTAAATGAGAAAAAAAAAGGTTTAATATTTCTTTGATGCAAGTGAAATGACTGTGAGAGCACTTAGTTAGATTGGCTATAAAGAACAGAGTGAGTCATGGGTTTATGCAAAAGTCTTATTTTCACCACCATTATCCTTTAAACAGATTTTTAAATACACTATGGTTTTTTAGGTTAAAGCCAAGAGATACACATTTAGAGGAAATAGAGGTTTTATTTAAATCTAAGTTCTGTTTATATTCTTTAAACACTCCTATTTGATTCAAAAGAAAGGTAGTCACAGCATTATATTCTGCTTAAAGCTGTGTGGATCTACTCTGTAATTTCAGTGGTGCAGATTGTTCTGAAATGCACCCTAGCTCTTTTTTTAAGGGAAAAAAACCCTAAAAAACCCAACAACCTCTCCCACTATTTTCTCAATAATTATTTCCAAATAAATACCCAAGTTGCAAGATGCAGCTCTTCCTTTATAAAGGTGGAACTGGGCTGCAAGGACTTTTCTGGAAGGCAGTGGCAGAGCCCTGTCCAGGCAGGCAGGGAGCTGGTGGCTACAGCAGCCCAGGACTTCCAGCTCATTGCAAGGTGAGTGCTCAGTTTTTAGCAGATATGGCTGTGATGGCAAAAGGGGGAGGAAAATTGGTGATGGCTGAGTCAATTTCCTAAGCACATCTTGTCCCTGAAACTATTACAGACCAGAATCAAACAGTACTTTATCAGAGAAAATTCCCAGGAGAAGTCAGAGGTGAATCCAAATTTTGCTTAACGCCTCTCTAGCAGCAAGAAATGGAAATTTTGAGCTCAGGTACATTCATTATACAATGGTGGGGTGAAAAGAGTGCTTCATTCTGTAAGTACCTAAAAATAAAGATGTTCTTGCTACAAAACAAAGCATGCTAAAAGAAGAAAGAAGACTCAAAGATACCTTCAGAGAGCAACATGCTACTTTTAATCCATTTATAATGTCTCTATGGGGAGAACATAACTCTAGTCCTTACTTGGTCTCAAAACTTTAGGTGGAAGAAAAGCTCCACAATTGCTAATGGAGGAGATTATATGGGAAGGATATGGAAAAAAGGAAATGCCTTCAGATTCCTGAGAGGCTGATTAGTTCATTAGAGAGTTAAATGAGGCAGGATTTCTCTGCCTGAGAGGCAGAAGCCCCAGACCAGTTAATGAAAAAAAGCTTCATCCAGTTTATCTGGCCAGATTGTTTTATTCACCTCATCTGAGAGTCTTAAATACCGGATGAAAGATGCTCAGCAGTGCAGAAATCTTGCAGGCGTGGAGAGATGTACTTAAAGCAAACAAACAGCTCACCTTGCAGCTCATTAACCAGCACCAAGCACTTCAACACAGCTGGGAGAACCAAGTCTGTGTCACACAGTTCAGTGCTCTGGGTTCTCTGAAGTACTTCAAGAATGAAAGCAAGAACAGAGGCCAAGCGAGGAGGTGGAGCATGGCCTTTGAACTGCAGGTAGTTTTCCCTGGGAAGACAAAGCAAGCCAGAACAAAGTCTATGATTTGGGGTTTTTTTCCATGTAATGCAAGCACCATATACCTTAAAATAACTATGATATTTCAGCAGGAGGCCTATTACATAGATTTCTATCTTTATCTAGGCTTAAATAATGGCTTCTATTTATCTTAGTCGTAGCAATGACTCCCAGTTTGTCAAAGGACAGTGATATCTTCTGATTCTTCTCTTCCGAGAGGAGTGAGAAATAAGAGCCATCATAATTACAGTTTAAAACCCAAGTGTGACTATTAAAAGCTAAATACAAAGGTAGCTTCATAATATAATTGAATTCATGAAGGAATCAAGATTGTAAAATCCTAAATCAACATGCATAATACAGCTGTTATTTAATTACATTATTTAGCTTTATGTGCTTTTGCAAACTCACAATCATACTTGTGGTAACAGCTCTGCTGTTACACTGGTACTGTTATTTGATTTTTATAAACAGTATGTTGTAACAGGACAGCCAGTGACTGATTTTGTTCTGTCAGAATTAACACAAACATCTCCAATATAAAATCTGGCACAAGGATAAAAGGTGATCTGTCAATCTGCAACAAGAGCAAATTTTAACATCACACACATGGAGTGTTCCAATTTTAACACATTGATTTGTTCATTTTCCATGAAAGAATACAAGAATATGAACTACTGTTGGTTTGGCACCACAAATTAATGGAATCTGAAGACAATAAGTTTTGCAGGTGAAAGAGAACACAGCATTTATTCATCAGTCAGCAAGAGCACTCCCAGAACCTTCAAAAAACCATTCTAAGATATTTAATATTAGGTACTGTTACCCACTCAAACAAGGCACATATGTTGGCTGAACAATACATCAGATAAAAACCAGCATCCTTATTAAAAGCTCAGTAAAGAGTGCTGCTACAACTTTCAAATGAAATGTGACTTTCAAAGCTTTGGGTACTTCATTGCACTGCTTCAGAGCACTGGTGTGACTTGGCCAATGAAAGCTGTGACACCCACAGTTCTTGTATCATGTGGTCTGTCTAACTTTAATATTAGCAACTCTGAAATCTTCTGTCTCATTAATTACTCTGAGAATTTCCCACAGGTTTTTTTTTTTTTGTGTGTTCTTCCACTACAACAGCTCTGTGAGCTGGGTAATACAATCCTGATGGAGTTTCCCTTCCCCTCTGCAGCAGCAATACATTCATTGCTTTCATATGGCAAAGTGGTGAACAAACTGCACCTATTTGTGTACAGACCCCATGACTGCCTCATGACCACCCAGCACTTTGCAAACCAGAGCACTGCTCAGTTCTAACACATTCTTCCCAGATCACTAAGGAATGTTTCACATCTTAAAAATCCCCAAGTGCCATTACACCTTCAGAACTTTCCACTCTTAATCTCCATGTTCACACATGCGTGCACACATTCAAAAATAACTTTAATAAGATGAAAAGTTTGGGTATCCAAAAACATGCCAGAACTAAGATTGTGAAATCTTAATTGACTCCCTTAATAGGTGATAATACAAGCTTTACTTACAGGATTGCCTCTCATATTTACCCAAGATTAGCACTGACATTATTTTTCTGATCAACATGTATACCCACTCTTCAACAAATAAAGACCCAATTACCATGGATATAGGCCTGTATTTGAGGGGGTTTAAATCCTTTCCCAACACAGAAAAAAAGTACAGATTGTTCACTGTTCTGCAGTGCATAAAACCAAGTGTCAGGCTCTCAGCAGCAGGAACAGAGATTTGTAGCTGCTGTTGACATCACGTGAGTGGTGACAGCGCAGTGAACAAACACTGTCTCCTGCCTCTCTGTCTTCCTCTTCCCAGTTTTCCATGTCCCCTGGGCAGCTGGCACACCTGTGCATGCCCTGACACTTAGAGAGCAACAAGGCTCCCAATTCTCAGGTAACTCTGGCAGCTCTAAGCGCTACAACACTGTACCCCTAAATACAGCTTGAGACACACATGTGATGATGTCTCTTGGAGTATAATTAGAAAAGGATTTGCATTTCACATGGCCTCCTGCAATATTTTTTGTTGTGGTCTAGGACTTTTATCCTTAATTA